ATTGGCTGCGTTCACATCACAGGCCTTAATGCTCTTTTTGTGTTGATGCGTCATCACATCCGTGTCTAAGTAACACACACACGCGCTGTGTTTTCATTCCTTGTGGGGACTATACATTGACTTGCATTCATTTCCTGCAGACCCGTCCTAACCTTAACCATGTTACCACCATAAAATTCAGTGATTTCCTTGTGGGGACCAGAGGTTGGCAGAGTCCCCAGAATGTGGGTGTGTTAACAGGTTTCGGTCCCCATAATGTGAGTAATACAAAGGCACACACACGCAGTGCTGATGTCCATCTCAACATGGGTTAAAGAATAGGAACAGTGGCTACTGACCTACTAACATGGTTTCAACAAGCAACAACAAGTTTGTTCTGCTTATTTCACAGCTGTTATGTTCTAAAGCCCAAATAAACATGGCCACAGCTCCAACCAAACCCAGCAGGAAAGACTTTAGCTGGCCTCTTTGCCCTGCACCTTGTGTGTAGCTAAGCTCCGCCCTTTGAACGGCTCCGATCCAACTCTGTTCATAGAGCCGCTGTGCCCATCGTGGTCATGAATACAGCAACATGAAAATATGCCTGAGGTAGCGTCACACAGAGAAACGAGACATTGACAGCCCCCTCCGGTCCGAGTCTGCACTGAGCCTGAACTTGGTCGCTGTAAAGCCTCCGACAGTTCTGCTGGCCGCTCGGCTTCAGCACACACCGTGTGAATGCCAGCCAGTTCGCCTCGATTTCAAACCTCCCACACTGTTTGCCTCTCCTCTTTCATCGGTGGAGAGAGGAACAGAGGCAGGTGAATTCAAAGCTGCTTCCTGTCTGAGTGTCAGTTGATGTCAGTTAAACTCTGTGTAAACGTACATGTGTCTGACAGATCCCCGTAACACTGGATCCTTCTGCTTATTGTGTTTATTCAGCTGCTTCACCCAGATGAAATGTTCTGCATCTGTACATCAGGTCATTATGACGCTGATGTTGCTGAAAGTAATCACTGCTGCAGCTTCTGTAAACTGGGGAAGCCAAGATAAATAGTTAATGCAGGTTATCACATCTGGCTGTTGGATTACTGATAGATGGGCCTGTTCAACACAGCACAGAAACCCACTGCTCCTCTTAAAATCCCCTATACTTCATTTTATATCAGGATCCACCAGGGCTGGATGTGGAAGAGAATCAGCTGGATTGTGTTTTAGCGTCAGTGGTGGTGTTCTTCCAGAGCTGGCGGCAGATGGTGGAAGGAATGAAAAGCTGGTGGGAGAAATCACTTCCAACATGTTTATTCCCTCCATTACAGCCAAAAGAAAAACCTTTCGTCCGAGAAAGCAAAAGGTCCTCTGTGTACGAGGAGGCAGCAGACTTTCTGGTGACGGCAGATGGTCGCAGGGATGGAAAAACTGGTTTCCAAGATGTTCATCCCCTTCAGGCAGGGGGATGACTGATGGGAAGCTGCACAGTAAATCTCTGAGCTTTATGGGAAAGGCAGTCTGAATTTTCAGACACAACAGTAGCACTGTCAGCAGTGTAAATACTATTTAAATAAAATGCAGTCTATCGATTGGAGTCAAATGGAGTCTGCTTCTACAGCTGTTAATAGAAAGAACAAGTTGCAATGTGAATACAGACGTAGGCCTGCTACAGTCTGCTAGGCTCAGTGTTGTACGCTGCTGAATATCCACTGTGAGGTCTGAAATGTTTTGATGATGCTGTCGTGTGTGATCCATTTCTAGTTTAAATTCATATAAATAAATAAAATAGCGAACAGTTAAAGAGAAAATGAATGGCTGTTTTATAATGTAAGCAAAGAGCAGTGAGAGGAAGGCTTCATGGTGACGTCTGACTGGAGGAGAAAGCTCCCTGCCTCATCGCCGACTAGCTGTGCAATGCCAAGCAGATGAACGCTGATGGAGTAGTTCAACATCCAATGTGCAACAGCTTAGCGTAGCTTAGGATGTGGACTTTTTTTAAATGACCCCTCATCCAGGCTGTATATACCACCCTTTTAGTATAATATTAAAACCCTTCATCTACTGATCAAGCCTTTTGAATCCCACTTGTGATTTTGGGCTATAAAAATAAAATTAGGCTTGAATTTGTCTTGACCGATTTAGCGTTGTGCGGCATTGTCAAACTCCAAACGGACAGCTACAGTAGTTACAGAACTGATGCAGCAGAACTAGAGATCTTCTCCTCCGTTAGAATATTGGACAAGTCTGTCTTCCTGGTCACAACCTGGCCACGGTGTAGTTCAGTCACTGAGCACGTGGTCTGGTATTCGGTTGTGTTAGCGGCTAATGCAGCCTGCAGCAAAGATGGAGAGCAGGCTCTACTCCACACCCCCAGATTTATGTACCTTTCAGGCGTGTAGTCTTCAGGCCCAGCGGACGCTGGCTCCTCTGTAATATTGGGTTTAATTTAGACGCTCAGTCACAGCAGTGATATTGACTTAATGCCACAGGTTTGTTGACACTTCTTTTCACCAAGTGGGAGATATTGCGCTTGTCAGAAATTCACAATTTCTGCAGCTCAGAGTTGC